ACAACTGAAAGAGCTCCAGTGACCAAAGCTGGTACAATATGAACAACAGAGTAACCAAACTAGTATTGGGTTACTCAGTGTAGAAAATATTTATGAGTTCATACTCATATAAATAAATTACTAAATGATAAAAAATGGAGAAGAGAAAAATCTCCTATGCAAAATAACTTCAAAGTATTTATTCATCTAATTCATTCTGAAGAGTAGCATAAATTCCCATTCTCTGTGGGCAGCATGTAGTGACTTGCTTCCAAGGAGTATTATACAAAAAGTGGGGACAAAGAGCAACGTTACAGTTGTGAAACTTGACAAACATGATCATAGTTCAGTGATGAAAGGTCAACATGAACAGAGATAGCCATGTGTGGTGGTGCAAACCTGTAATCCCAGCTACTCTAGAAGATGAAGCAAGAGAATTTCACTTTTAAAGCCAGCCTGGACAACTTAGTGAGATCGCTTAAAAAAAAAAAGGACAGGGATGTAGCTCAATGGTACAGAACTTACCTGTATGAGGCCCTAGGTTCAGTCCCAGTACTACAGAGAGAAGAAAGCAAAGGAAAAAAAGCAATATGTCATTGTAAATAGCCTAAGCACCTCTCACGAAATCTATAGTGATGGCCTTTAAATATTTTAAATATATACAAAATAGCTACCACAATGTCTGGCCCATAATTGAAAAACAGTATCCATAATCAAGAATTAAACTGAAAAAGTGACTAGATCTAATTTTTGTAATTTAACTGTATTTCTTTTGAAAACTATTGAGTGGGGTACCACTGACCTAGTAACACATCTGAAACACAGTGGACCTTCAAGTTACAACTGGCCTAATATACAAACGGGTTAATTAGGTTAATGGAAGATTCATCTGCTTCTTATTATCTATAGCATGTACTCAGGTAAACAGCCAGATCTCGGCTATATTGACTTATTTATAACTGGCCCTCAAGAATTGATTGAGTTTTAGTCAAGGGTCCACTGTATACCATAAACTTTCATATATTCACAATATAATGCTATTTAGATATTTGTATCATTGTAGATTATTGAAGAAACTTATGAATATTATCATTTTAAGATTCAATCTGCTATCAGCAGAACCCCAGACAATATTATTTCTGCCTGTCTCATGGTCTTGAATGGCTCAGCATTTCCTAAAAAATCACCCTGTAAGAAAAAAACTCTTGTGGGATTTTTTTGAAGCTAGACTGGAAAGCCCTTAAATGCCCTGAGATATGTGCCTATGATTTCCCTACTAAAGATAGAATGGGGATATCATGGTGGTATCTGTTCCTAGAACGTGACTCCTCTGTTGCTAATCATTATTTCAATGTGGATTTGTGATCTTTCAATTAGCACCTTGGACAAACCTCACTGGCTACATTACTGCCACTGTGCAAAGCCGATTTGTGGACTTTAACCCTAGATTGTGTTAATGAATGTACACTCGTATTTAATGTTCAGAAGAGGTGGTAGATGACACTAGAAATTTTGTATTATGAAGAAACTGGAGTTAAGTGGTTTAATTTAAAAAATGTATATACTTCAAATGAGATAGAATAGAGGATTTTGAATGTTTCACTGCAAAGTAAGGATGTTTGGGGTGGTTTATTTTTTTATTTGATTATACAGTGTAATTTTGTACAATTATGTCAGTTAAAAATAGAACTAAAAATGGTGAATACCAAAAGACTGAAATATGACAACTGTTCGATAGATACATTTTGCTTGGGGAGTTACTGCTATACTTTTCTAGTCAGAAATGAAATAGGCCAAATTGTGACAATCTGAATATATAGGAGAAATTGCTGTTTCAAAACCAAAAATAGTAGACAACCTGGATATTCAGTTTTCACTAGGAGGTTTAAAAATTATTGGCAGTGGCTTGTTTGAAAGCATTTCACATTTGATTTTTGCTCCTTACTTCTTTTTGACTTCTTGTATTAACCAGACTAGACAATGTTGTTGGGAATCAAACCTTTTGCAATAACAGGACCACTTGTCTTCTTATCATACACTTAAAACAGCATGTTTTGTTTTAAATTTCTTATTGTAAACCAAAGAGCCCAGTATTTCAGATCCTTTATAACACCTGATATGGATAGGATGTTTTTAAGATCACATGGAATGGAATTGCAATTAGTACCAAAGTAGGTAATTATTTTTGTTTTTTAAAAGATAGCTGCTGATGTAGGCATTCTCTTTTCCAACCGTATCACTCAATTTCCACAACTCTGAAAAAGTGAACCTTACTCACTTTGCTTCCCTTGCTAGCAAACAAACTGATTCATATCCAAATGGACTTGAGAAGGCCAAGAGGAAGGCAATTCTGTCATAAACTTTGTCTCTGGCATTATCGTGGCAGAAGTGATGTTCCTGTAATTGTAAGATAAGAACACAGGATGTCCAAATTTTAAGTAATTTAATCTTTCAACACAAAAGTTTCTTTTTTCTTTCCTCTTCCTTTTTTTTAAGACGGAGCCTCACTATGTAGCCCAGGCTAGCCTTAAATATGATTCTCCCATGAGTGCTGGGATTATAGGCATGTCCAACTAGGTTGTTTTAAATTAGTTTTAACAAGTCCTTTCTATAGAGTCTTTTAGGAAATGGTTCATCCATTCACTTAAAAGAACATTATCTATTTCATGCACTAAGGAAACATCATTGAACAAAACAGAAAAATCCCTGACCTCTTTCATGGGGCTTATATTCCAGTAAAAGAAAGAGAATAAGAAAGAAAAGTAAGTTCTCATCTCAGAAGGTCTAACTACTGTGAAAACATCTGAGGTAAAGATGGATGGATACTAGGGGAGAGTATCATTTTAAATGGGATAGTTAGGGTAGGTTTCCTGCAGGTATTTGGTGGCAAGATCCTTCTAGGTAGGGCAAAGACACCAGAGCCAGAGGGTGCCATGCTGTTATAGGAACAGGAGCAGTCCTGGCTAGATGGAACAAACTGCTTAAGGTCAGAGAGGTGGGGTGTAGGGTAGGACTTGTGAAGGCAGCCACCTTGGGAATTTCAGGTGGAAGAAAGGACTCCAGCTGAGAAAACTGGGAAGCTAGTGGAAGAACTAGCAATTGTGGTTTGCTACTAGGTCTACAAACTTGATTGTTAAAAGCATATCCAGGTCATATCAAACCTCAAGTTGTGCCTACACTTAATTTATCCCTTAAGATAAGTTAAAATGTCTTGCTCTGGGAAGGAAAAAGATGTAAAAAATAAAACTCGAACCAGACACCTAAATTACAGTTTTAGTTCACTAGTTAGTAACTTAAATATTAATGAACCTGTTTCTGTTTTCTTATTTACAGGTTGAAACAGTATCTTTGTCCAGGTTCTTTCTTATCTCTAGTGTCTCTTGTTTTCCCTTTATACCTCAGTCCAGGTTATATTTTCCAATCTTATTTCCTATTTATGGCCTGACCTTTCAATACCAGTAATATATTGTATTGTATTACAGAGGTGAAGGTTTTTGCTGGCAACGTGGAAATTATGCACAAAACAGATCAAAACAACAAAAATTACTTGGCTACAATTAGTTAAATGGAGTAAAAGTCAGGATTTTACTTTAATTGTGGCAGAACTGCTTAAGTGAACCATTTTGTTTTCTTGTTAGGGACACACAGAATAGAAAATACAGGTTTGTAGTGCTTCACTCTCTGTATTGAGAATTTCAGAGTAACATATTAAGTAAATTACACTTAGCACAATAGTGGTTTTGTGGAGGGAAAAAGGTTCCAGTAAAGGGAAAGAAGGAACTGCCGACCGTAGTTTATCAAAATGCCTTTACAACTTTTTAAAGAATGAGATGGAAGCATTTTGCTGGTTATGTCTTAAAAATTACTTCTCAGATTTTTTTTTGGAAACTGGGTTCTAACATAAAACAGACTACAAAGGGTTCGACAGTGTGTTGAAGTAAGGCCCTTCATTCTGACTCAAAAAGAAATAAGTGCCTCTAATTCCACACACTCTAACACATCTCGTCGTAGAGTGGGAATGGTGTCAGTCTCAGGGGCTTCTGAGCACCCAGCCTTCCAGTGCGGTCCCATTTAAGATGGAACTATTTACAAAATCTGCTGAAATCTGCTCAGTGTGATACACAAACACACCCAAAAGTTAAAGCCGTGGAGACAGCAGTTAAAAGGCAAGATGTGCACTGATTTATTTGAAAGGTCTCTTCCACGGAGAAAAACAACCCTCGTGGTTACTACTGTGCAGGTGCTGGTGAGTCACCTAATTAGCAGCGTCCTGACTCGAAGGGCCAGGATCAGGGTAAAGCCGATATGCCCGTATCACATCTACAACCTGTCGCGCACCCCTGTAGAGAGGAGAGCACTCACTGAGGATTGGTAGAGACAAAGGAAAGTTTCTGTCAAAGTTTCGGACAGAAGGACTGCGCGGGGAGCGGCTTCAGATCACCCTCGGAGCCCAGGCGGTGAAGGACGCTCTTCGGTATCCGCGGGCCCAGGGAGACGCGCGATGGAAGTTTTCCCTGCAGGGAATCTGCTTCCTCGCTCCCAAGACGCCCGCGGTCCGCAACGCCACCAGGCCAAATCTCGGCCTCTGCCAGTGTCGCTCCTCCCCAGGGCTGGCCTAACCCGGCGTGTGGAGAAGGACGAGCGACCTCCGCGGATCCGAACGCCGAACCCTGCGCGACCGCGGCGCCTGGGATTCTCTCCACTCCCAGCGGTCCCTGCTTGGCCCGGGCGCCCAAGCCCTGGGTGCTCTGCCCCAGGGTGCAGTGGGCGGGCCAGCGCCCGCCTCCGCTTCTCCGCGCGCCGGCGCTATGGAGACAGTCACGAGACTCCGGCGGCTCCCACGCCGGCCAATGGGGGCGCACGTCGCGGGGAGACGCGGACGTCGCTCATCCAAGATGGCGGCGCGTCCGTCGCGAGCAGCCGGGCCGGGGGGAAGCCAGCGAAGCCGAGTAAAGCCGCCGCCCGGGAGGAGACTGAAGGAACAGTTGCCGCCGTTGGCGGCGGCCCGGACAGTTTTCGCTGCTGCTACGGCTGTTGCCATGCGGCGAGGGTAGGAAGGACCTCACTTCCCCGAGGTGTAATAATGTTAACAGAGGTAAGCGGCGACGGCGGCCAGTGTTTACCTGTGAAATGGGAAGGGGGCCGGCGCCAGCCCGTCAGAGACCACCATCTCTGGCCGGTGGGCTCGACCCTCCGCCTCGGGTTTCTGGGCTGGAGGAGCTGCGGGGATCCTACAAGTGCCCCCAGAGTAGGAGCTGTGCTGACTCAACAGAGTCCCACCGCCTCCGGCTCCGGTGCCTCGCCTTTTGCAGTTGCCACTCGCCAGTCGCTCCTTGCGCTGGACTCCCGCCTGCTGTCGGTGCCTCCCAACTCACCGTCCCTTCCGGTGTCCCCTTACACTCTGCTCTGTGGCAGCGCTGCTCCTCCGCCGTACTGCCCCTTGCTGCACCCCTGCAGTTTGCCCGAGGTCTCACTTCGCGGGCTCCGCGGCCCTGCCCCTCCTGGCTCGGTCAGCATTCAGGGTTTGTCGCTTGGCCAGACCGGTTCGTTCTCCACTCCCTCCTTTGCTTCGGGGAGTGGACCTTTTCCCTGAAGCTTCACTTGCGTACTTCGGTGTTACCCCCTCCCCCACGTTCTGTCATCTTTCGTTTAAATCGTCGTAATCACAAAAGTTTAACATCTTCCTTCTTGATTTGCGTCTGGCCCCTTTGCAACTCTCTGTGGAACAGTTTTCTCCTTGGACCTGAAATGGAAGTAGAGCAACAGTGACGAGCCAATCAATTTCTGTTTTCTACTGCCTACTACTGTCCCTTGCAAAAACCAGACTTTTTGAAGAAGTAATTTGCCTCTACTAGCAGTACTGTAAGGGGAAGAACTAAATTGCTGTAACTGGTTACGTGACCCAAAGTTTGTACAGTTAAATATAGTGGTATATTTTTAGGAGTAGGCATCGTAGAACGTAAGATACTGAAGCTTGTGGATTTAATAAAATACTTTCTTAGAAGCTTTTTGCTTTAAGCATTGTGAGGAGCTTGATGTCAGTAACTGGTTTGGGCATCTTTGTGGGCTGAATTGGGGATAGGAAACCGTTTTAATGGGCAGTAGGAAGCAGTCCTATGTGTACCAAAAAGGAAATAAAAGTTATTTGTAGATGAGTGGCTTTTATTGTGTAAAAAGGGTTGATAAATTACTTGGCTTTCTGAGTCCTTGTAATTTAACTGTGAGAAACGTCATACATTGGTGTTTGCTCTTAACCTATGCACATAGTCTGGCATATGATGTGTTTGGTAAGTCTTTATTGGTTGATTGTAATTCTGACTACTTATTTGGAGTAATTAGAAGTTTGCTTTATATTTCCAGATTCCACAGACTTCATTCCTGCAGTCAATTTCATTGTCAGAGACTGTGACTATATGTTTCTGCTGCTATTAGTACAGTAGTTAAAAAAAAAAAAACATTTAGCAGAAGTTCTGTTTTTACCTTAAGTGTGACATTTTGATGAGAATACATAGTCTTGCAAGTTTTTAGTGTTGTGTTTAATGTACAATATTTTATGAAATTATCTTTTGATAAAACTTGGCTTAAAATTTAAGGGGATATTAATACTTTCATATGAAAATAGTATCTAGTAAAATGCTAATGTCTTAATTTAGACTGAACTTTCCAAGCTTTTGTGCTTTAATATAATTTTACATTTAAATGAAATATTTTACACATAAATCAATGATGATAGTAAGTCGCACGTCTGTGCTTTGTGCCTGCGTGTACTTTGTAGATGGTTGCAGTTGGTAGAACCAACATCCCTACTTTGGTGGTTGTCATTCTGTTAACTGCTCCTGCTGCAAAGTAAGACCCAGATTACACTGTACTTGTATTATCATCTGTGGTTTCAAGTAGTTATTTTATAGCTGAAATTGAAGCCTGGGGACTTGTCCAAGGTCAATCATTAATAACGTAGTTGAATCTGGAATCTCATCCCTTGATTGTCAGTACAGAAAACTGACCATTTTTTTCAGCTGCAATGCAATGATTAGTATTCACGTCTCTTGATAGATTTTAAAACGTGCCACTTGCTTATCTGAAAATTGTCAGTAGTTAAATTGAGAAATTGTCAGTACTTGAAAAAGTCTTTGCTTAACCTCAGCATTTACCTTTTTCTCTTAAACAAGGGTTCTAAGTTGTAAAAAATATACCTGAAATATTTTAGATTAAAAATTTTGATAAATACTGCTTATAAAAATTAATAGTGTGGTACTTCTTTTTAGCTGTGAATTAATCTGTGAGCTACTTTGAAAGAAAGTCCTGTCTTTCTGTTAGTAATGTTCAGCAAGCATTTTCTGTGCTCAGAAAGTAGTGAATTCTACTGTGTAATTGGTTCCTTTATATCAGCATTAAGGTAGGCGATATGATCTGCACTCATGAGGTGGGAAACAGATTAAGAAAGTTAAAATGGTTTGTTTAAAATCATGTAACAGGCGTTAGAGCCACCTCTTATTCAAAATTATGTACTTTTTTTTATGGCCCAGTATGTAATGTATCTTTTTTTTTTTTTGTAGCCAATACTAGTATACCCTTTTTGGTATTTTTTTAAGGAGGTGAGGATACTCAGTAAATAGAACATGATAACAGCAATGATAAATATTTATATGAAACCTTAATTTTGCATTTTTCAAAGTATATCTTTATCAAAACCATTTCAGAAATGATAAACCACACCACCTATCAAAGTTAAGCTAAAAGGAAAAGTTTCTCAATTGAGCAAACTAATATGTACATTGAACTTTGAAACCAATGAAAGATATTAGGTAAGTGTGCATTGAAAGGACAGGCCCAGTTATATATTTCTCATTGCTAACTTTTTGGTTTCAATTTGTACCCTTATAAATACAGATGAGTTATTTGCAAAGGTTGCTAATTGTATGAATGTACTTGTGTGTTTTTTCATGTTTCATACAAAGGTGAAATACACATCTAGCATATGCACATGCACACACACACACACACACACACACTTTAATGCCCAGTTGAACATTTTTTCCTTCTGTCTTTGCCTTTGTTAAGAGTTTTTTCTATCACATTTGGCAAAAACTTTGTCATGTATACTCAAGAATACTTAACTTTCTATCCCTCTCCCCAGATCAACTTTTTATGTCAAAATTAGGGCCCAGGATATTTGTTTACCTGAGATTTTTTTTAATTAGCTTGAATTCTCACTGCATTAGAATGTAATGAATTATTTATTAGTGAATTTTCATCATCCTTTTAAAATTTTTCTTAAGATTTCAAAAGCTATTAAGATTATGAATTTGAGAATTTGTAATGAACTAAAGGTACAGAAGATATGGGAAATTATGCTGAATTGATTCAAGTGCTGCAGAATGCTCTGGAAGTTCTTGCATAAAAACCAAGTAGCTTTTTGTTACTAGTTCTGTGCTCTTTTCTTTTCTTTTCTTTTTCTCTCTTTTTGGTACTGGGGATTGAACTCGGGCCCTTGCACTTGTGAGGCAGGTGGAGGAACCACTGAGCCAAAAACCTGGCCCCTGTGCTTTTAAAAGTAGTGGATAAAAAATGTTATTGATTGTGAATGTGGGGGCATTAAGCGAATGTTAAATACTCCCCCGCCCCCGTATCTGGGATCGAACTTAGGACCTTGCGCTTGCAAGGAAGGTGGCAACACCAATGAGCTACCCTGGACCCTAAAAAGGTTATATTTATGTTCAGTTATATCCATTCAGATTTACTGATTTTTAGATACTAATACTAATTGTCAATTTTGAGTGTAACAGGTATGAAACAGTTGGGGAAAGTCATAAACCGCAGACTTTTAGAAATCTCTGGTATTTAAAAAGGATTTTATAAAGGAAGTCAATAGAGTCAGTCTGGTTTGCTGCTATAAGCACAACATTGTTTAGCATCTTTTGAGTAGCCAAGATGAGTATTGCTATTTTCCAAGAATTTAAAAATTTTGCATGAATGTTATATTACATTGATGATAATATTTGCATACATTTATGAGGTATAATGTGATGTTTTGAAACATACAGTGTGGAAGGAATATTTAAGTTAAGCTAACACACCCATAACTTCACTTATTTTTTGTGGCAAGATGTTTGAATTATTCTTAGTTATTTTAAAATATATAGTATATTATTACTGATAATAGTCACCTTGTTCCGTTGTTCTCAAGATTTCCTTCCTCTGAAACTTTATCATTTTGACCAATAATTTCCCCTGTCCTCCTGACAGTCATTCTTCTCTATATCTCTGAGTTCAGCTTTTTAAATTCTACATGTGACATCACACAATGTTTATCTTTCTTTGTCTGCTTTATTTTACTAAGCATAATGTCCTCCGTGTTGATTGTTCATCTTGGATACTTAGGTTGATTCATATCTTGGATATTGTGTGCAGTAGTGCAATGCATGTAGAAAGGCAGATATCATTTGATATATTTACTTGAAGTCTTTGGACATATACTCTGGGATTGCTAGATCATGTGGTAGTTCTATTTTTAGTTTTTTGAGCAACTTACATATCATTTTCTATTACCACCAACAGTGTACACAAGCGTTCCCTTTTCTCCACATGCCAATATTGTTATCTTTCATCTTGAAAATAGCCACTCTGACAGGTATCAAGTAACATTTCATTGTGATATTTATTTGCAGTTTCCCATTTACCTGTTGACCTTAAATCTTCTTTTGAGAAAAGTGCCTTCATGTCTTCATGTCTGTTTATTTTTCTTGGAGTTGGGGATTGAACCCAGAATCTGTCACATGCTAGGGAGGCTTTCTGTCACTGAGCTACATGTATATTACTGCCCTTTGTTCCAAAGTTTGATGACCATTTTGCCATAGATCCTGATAAAGGATGGTTTCTTTAGCAATACACTCACTGTATGTATACTATATAAAATTTCTTTTGTTTATTTTATTTGAGGAAATAAGGGGTTAAATTTTGGAGTGGAAGTAGGAAATAAGTAGGTTTAAAGATTTAAGGCATTTGTTTGTGCATTATAGGGCCCCTGCAAATGTGTCACCTTTCATTGCTTAATGTAAAACTATCAGCATGTGCATACATTTTGCAGAGGGCTAT